TTCCGCTTTCTTTTCCTTCCTAAATTCATGTTCACTTACACAAACATAAGAATTTCAATTTTAGTATATTCTCCATACTCCAGATATTTTAAATTCACCAAGTTAATATTATTTATGTATGCAAGACCTTTTCATATACAAATATTTTACTTTTCTGGATATTGAATAATTGGGAATTTCTTTAACAATGGTTGATTGAATAATTGGGAATTTCTTTAATAATGGTTGAGGTAATCTAAGTAAACAAATAGTTCATGTGATGAAGTGAATATTAAAAAAAAAAAAATAGATCACACATAGCCACCAAATTTGTCAGTAGAGTATTATGAGTTGAAGAAATTTAAAGTATTACATCAGATTAAGCATTGTAACAATAAAAATATGATATAGTAAAATATGCTTGAAACTGTAGAATATATAACCAAATTTTTTGAAGTCCACAGATAAGTCAGCAGAGCCCTTCTAATGAACCAATGCAGCCTTGTGGTAATGGCAGAAAAGCCATCCTTGGGGTGAGGACCGTAGGTGGAGACAGGGTACCACAGAGGAAATAAGTGTACAGATAATCAAGAACCAGTAGATTAGGCTCGGTGCCTATAGCTCAGCAGCTAGGGCACCAGCCACCTACACCAGAGCTGGTGGGTTCAAATCCAGCCTGGGTCTGCCAAACAACAATGACAACTATAACCAAAAATAGCGGGGCGTTGTGGCAGGTACCTGTAGTCCCAGCTACTCAGGAGGCTGAAGCAAGAGAATCCCTTAAGCCCAAGAATTTGAGGTTGCTGTGAGCTGGAACACCATGGCTCTCTACGACAAAGTGAGACTCTGTCTCAAAAAAATAAAAAGAATCAGTGGACTAGAGTTCCTCCCATGATTTTGTTTTATAACTCAAATGACCCGCAAATAAGTAATCTTTATGCTGACTTGTTTCTTAAATTATGTGAAGAAAAAAGAAAGAAAAAAGATTACATTTAATTTTGTGTATCCCAGAATAACAATAACAGTCAAAAGCCTTTGCTAGTACTACAGTATGTATTTACACAGACAATCTATATTATTACTTTATGAAATAATATGTTATAAACTACGTATTGTTTTAGGACCCTGCTGACTCTCAATCAGCTCCCTCTACTTGGAAAGCTGCCAGCGTCACTCCAATCAAGCTCCCCTCTACGGGGATTTTGGGAATACCTGCTCTGGCCAGGAGCCAAGCTTCATAAGCGACAGGGGATAGTAAGGGAGGAGAAAAGATGGAGCAAAAGGAAGCCCATGTCTCTTTGGTTTCATGAACTGTCGGAGTGTAATTTCTCTTTTTGTAACAATTAGGCTTTCATTCACAATCACAAACTAAGACCTGTTTTCTACTAATAAAAAAGTCAAGTAATTGACTCCTGAGTTAAATTCAAAATGTATTTATTAGACCCCTATGTGACTGCTCCTTGTGAAGAATTTGGAAAGTTAAGGAGAAACAGGGTAGACAAATTATTCTAAAACTAATTTGAGTATAATCAAGCATCATTACTCAATCTAAATTCCTGGATCTTCCAAACCTAGGGAAAAAGTCCTGCTATTTAAATGAAAGGAGTGATTCTGTTAATACCTCTGATACTTTCATGTCTAGACCTTATGATGGGCATCACTCATTCGGAGATACTATTCTTGTTCCTATCCCACAAGCACATCTACTCCAGCCATGCTAAATTCCATGATTACTGTAATTTTGCCTTACCAAGGTGCCCTTTTCCATGCTATTCCTTCTCCTTCCAATTCCTTTCTCTTTCCCCACTCTACTCAAATGGAAATCTATAGACTATCTGCACATCTTAGACCCCGCAGGGCATCAACATCAGCTTATCCTCCTCTGGGTTTCCACCATACCTTGAAAGTACCTTTCTTTCTTTTTTAATTAATTAATTTTTTTTAATTTTTTTTAATTAAATCATAGCTGTATACATTAATGCAACCATGGGGTACAGTGTGCTGGTTTTACACACAATCTGAAATGCTTTCATCAAACCTCTGGTACATCTTACAAGGGTACATGTGAAATTTACCAGGTATAGAATTTAAATGTCTTAACACAATAACTAAGAAAATGCCGCAAAGGCTATGTTGACCAGTTTGATGAAAGCACTTTTCTTATGGTAACTCACAGAATATGTAGTACAAGAATTATTTATACAAAATATTTTGTTTACATGTCTGCCTCTCCACTCTACCTGTGAATGCTTGAAGAATTGGAACCACATTCTATTTAACTTTAAATATTCATATGACTTAAAATATAATAAACTTATGCTTATTGGATAAATGAATATGTAAATTAATGAATAAATGGACAAATAATAAACCTAAGTGAATAAATAAACAGTAAAGGTTTCAAGAAGCCTGAAATGGCTATAATCAGCCTTCAACAACTTAAAGAAGGAGAAGCTATGTGAGCAGAAGGCAGGCCTCAGAGACATTCATGTCATGTTCGCGGATGGAAAAGCATGTCCCTTGGCCTTCTATGCCTAGGAATTCCTATAAGAGAGAGTAGAATATAGGAAAAATGGAAACAGAATGTAGACAGTTTGGAAATTTAGGTTAAGAAGTTCCATGTGACGAGGAGGCATTAATGGTTACTAGTTTCTGGCAGGGTTTCGGGGTCCTGATCACCTGCATTAGAATCTCAACTCTGAGATATACTAACTGTGTGATCTTAAGAAAGTTGCTTAACTTCCCTCATAAATAGTATCTCCTCACAGGAGAGTTGTAACGGTTAAATAAATTAACACATGCAAAGTTCTTACTACAGTGTCTAAGAGATAGCAAAACCCAGTAAACTTACCTTTACTACTGACAAGGCTAGTGGGAAAGATGCAGGAAGCAGTGACAGAAGATTAATTAGGTGGTATCTAATGGAAAAATCAAGGTAGACAGAAGTGGGAGGTGACTTAAGGTTTCTGCTAAGTAGAAGGGTAAGATGAAGAACAGGGCATTCTTAAGAAGTCATTCTAGGCTTGGCACCTGTGGCTCAAGTGGCTAAGGCGCCAGCCACATACACCTGAGCTGGCAGGAATCCAGCCTGGGCCTGCCTGCCAAACAACAATGACGGCTGCAACCAAAAAATAGCCGGGCGTTGTGGCGGGCGCCTGTGGTCCCAGCTACCTGGGAGGCAGAGGCAGGAGACTCGCTTGAGCCTAGGAGTTGGAGGTTGCTGTGAGCTGTGATGTCACAGCACTCTACTAGGGGGACAGCTTGAGGCTCTGTCTCAAAAAAAACAAACAAAGAAGTCATTGTAAATGAAAGGGGAAATGCTTCACATCGCCATGCTTCAGAACAATTCTCTAATATTAAAATCTCACCTTCTCAGTTACCAAGTTCCTACTGTGTGAGCGTGTGTATGTCAGAGTGAGAGCATGAGGGAGAGCGAGAGAGAGAGAACCCCATCACAAAATGATCGCTAATCGCTACCTTAGCAAAAGAGTTGGACAGTCCAAATTACTAGCTGTGTGACTTTCTTCAGACATAAGACTAGGATAGAGAAGGACACTGACATTAAATGAGCCCCTGCTATATTTCAGAAACTTAAATTATCTCAATGATCCTTACAGTAACTCTTTGAAGAAGGCATTATCATGTCTGTTATACAGCTGAGGCACTGTGTCCGTCATGTGCCTGAGGAAATAAAAATTTCAACGACATAAAGAAATATGACCGAAAATCACACAGCACAATAAAGCAAAAAGATAGCTCAGTCCTTAGTCCTGTAGTCTATAAAGTTATTGCTTGTAGGTAAAGTAAATGTTACCAGTGGTAGATGACACACATCCTTACACCCAGCTCATAATAACTCACATACCCACTCTTCTCTCTGAATTTTTTTTTTCTTTTTGTAGTTTTTGGCCTAGGCTGAGTTTGAACCCGCCACCTCTGGCATATGGGGCCAGCGCCCTACTCCTTTGAGCCACAGGCACCACCCTTTTTTTTTTAAAGGAAATATGTCAGATCAAGGCAAATTTATTATGGATGAAGGGTAGCTGGAAGGTAAAGTGAAGCCCGGAGTACCACAATATTATTATCTGATTCTCACTAGTGAATTTAGGGGATAACATTTAAGGTTTGGGGAAGACCATTGAGAGAGATTAAGACACCAGATTCTTTTGTTTGAGAAGCCTTGAGTAATAACATTTGATTTCTTATTATGTGCCATGTGCTGTATATGCAATTTTTTAATGTAGCTTATTTCATCCCTATTAATTATTGTTTAAATAAGTATCATTATTTTCCAGATAAAGAAGCTGAGGCTTGGAGTTTTGGGAAATGCGAATAACAACCAACACATCCTTGGCTCCGAACCCCAGAAACTCTGAAACTTCTGAGTGTTGAATAGGAAAGGAAATATTTTTGAAGGTATGTCAACACATTCCTTTTGTCAGGGAACTATTTCATGTAACTATATAACAAGATACCCCAGTGAGCTAAAGGAGC